ATATATATATATATATATATATATTTATAAACAAAAAACAAGTCTGGTTTATTCATCTGTAATTTTATTAAAGTTTCTCCAAAATTAAAACGTTCCCCCCCCCCCTTTCGTTCAACCTTTATTTATACAGGTTAGTCTCATTGAGCCTCGAGGACTCATTTATAAAAGAGACCTGTTTTTAACAAAGAGTGATGACAACAGTGGACAATCATAAAAGAAAGCATATAAAATGAAAAAAAAATGGAAGAAAATTTTATTAAAAAACGAAACAAAAACAGCTACACTGTAAAGCGGTGTAGAAAACTAACAACAGGAACATGTCTGCATTGGTTTTGGAGATGAACTTAGCAGATGTTTGAAGCCACTTATAGAGGTCAAGGTCGAGATCTTCAGATCTTTTTGCAAGATATTCCAGGAAACAGGAGCGGAGTAGGAGAAGGCCCTTTTGCCTAGTGCAGTCTGCACTGAGAGGACACTGCAGGTAATAATGTCCTGAGAGTGCACGCTGTAGCTGCACTCACGTAGTGACCATTTTTAAAGATTTTAAAAGTATTTTAAGTTACAAACCAAACTCAGCATAATACACTATGCTGCTTTTTAAATAATGCATTTAATGGCACTTTATTTCCTTAAATTCACTGTACATTCTATGTTTTTATGTTAAAAGAGCGGAGTACAATAACTTGCAATAAAATAATAAAATTTATTATTGCACTGGAGTGCAATAACAAATTTTATTGTATCTTTTTTTAAATCCCCAAAATGCTCCTTGTCCTATCTACAAAACCCATTTCAGTCTGTTGGATCTTAACTCTTATTCTGTTTCTCCACTTCCAAAGTATTTCTGATGCAGGATGACTGCTGTGAGGGGTGTGAAATGCTGAGTTTTCAGTCGGTGCATGAGTGTGTGTTTATGTGTGAATAGGAGCAGGATGAGCTGAGTGAAGAGCGAGCCAGTGAGGGACTGGTGATGAGGCTGACTGCACTCTCTCTACAGTACAGCTGCTGCTGGCTCATCCTGCGCTGCCCTGACAGCCAGGGTGGAGGGTCTGCGTACACACACACACATGCATGCTTCATTATGCTGGCATACGTTACCTGCTGCCCTAAATCAAGCCCCCACAGTAACATTTTCATATTTAGGAGCTGTGATTTGTCCCAAGAATAACATTAATCAAACTGATACTTTACAACAAAATGTTTTATGTGGCAGATTGTCCAGTGAAGCCTTCAACAACTTGGTGTTAGTTTATTCCTCCCTGGTGCTGTTCAACATGAAAGCTGAGGAACTGGATGTGAAGGTAGAACGTGTTTCAGACCGGAGCAGCTCATGACTTTTAACTTACCCATGTTCAAAAGAAACCACAGATTAAAGGCTGGTCAACGTTCAACATGTCTCTTGTTTATCTTCATTAAAAAGCTATACACAATTTAACTGCACCAAGTGTTTAGAGTCCCCAACAGAGATTCTCTCTACTAATTGTTTTCATAATGTATTCATGTAATATTGCTTTATGTATCATCAGATACCAAGTCTGAAAAACGGAATGCATTTTTTAACCATAAGTTTTTTTAAAGCCTTTAGATTGTTGATTCTCAGTTTATTTTTACAAGACTTTGTCTAATTCTAAAATGTGAAAAAATGTTATCACGTTGGTTGACGGTTTTGTTTGTTGACATTTTTCAGGTTCTGATTGTGTCAGAAGTGTTGGAAATGGCCACATTCATCAACCACATCTGCTTCACCAGCCTGATGTCCAGGGACGGGGATCCTGTCAGCTCTCTGAACAGAGACTGGCTCACTGTGATGCCTTCTCAGGTGATCTCAGTTTGATCTTCTAGAGTTTGGTGGGAAAAGCTGGTTTTTGTGTTTTTATCCAGGATAATTCCACAGTAAAGATCTAAAATGGGTTTATAGGAGGTTCAGTCTTACATTCATGTTGTGAACTGTTATGGTTTGTGGATTTTGTGCTTAGCCACGTCTGTATTTGCTCTTCATCAAGAAACTTTTGGAAGATAAACCATTTTATTTCAAACAATATTAAAGAATCAATCAGGTCTTGCATATTTTACTGTAGATATAAGGTTTCCAAACAGCATGCAGTGTGGTCTTACAGTTTTTTCACTTCCTGTAGGAGGAAGCGTGCCTGTCTCAGTTCCCTTGTATTAATCCTCTGGTCAGTCAGCTGATGTTGAACAGAGCTCCGTCCCTGAAGTGGCTCCTGGGGGCCCCGCTGCCTCAGCTGAAGGCGCTGCTCCCTGAGGTGCCACATAAAGTCCTGAAGGTGAACAAATCACCAGTTATAGACATGTCAGGCAGTTACTGTCTTTTTGTCTAGTTCCTTATAGTTTCTGTGAAGACAGCTGTTTATAAAAATTGATTTCATAATAAAAAACTAAAAATTTAAAGACTCCCAGTTTCTGCTTCTGCTCGTGTTAGATGACAGTCATGGGTCCTCACATTTACTGCATTTTTCCAGACCTAACATTTAATGATACATAAAACAATATTACATAATTAAATTAAGCAGGGTCTGACTTTTTATTGGAAGAAACACACAGCTGTTAGGAAATAAAACAAGTCACAAGAGCAAATATTTGTGTGCAAATTTCATACCAGAATTATTGAAGAGTGATATTTTATTTTTCTGTAGTACCGTTTAGGAATAATCTGAACTTTAAACTAGACTGAAGATTGCACCAACATAACTGGTTTGTTTCACTTTGGCGTAAGCTGTTGGGGAAGAATCAGTTTTGTGTTGTGCGTTTCCTTGACTGACAAAGCCTTCTGGATGGAAGGTGAAACGTTACAGCACACAAAAAAATAAACTTTCCAGATGACCTGACTGAAAATTGCTGGATTATATACCTGGATTATTGAGCATGGACTTTGTTGGTTTTGAACTGAGAGTTTCATATAGATCAAAAGTACTGCACCGTGATACTGTACATGAAATAGTTCCTTCCAGGTAGCATTTTTACTTTAGTACAAGTGGTACTCAGTGTAGAATTACTGTAAATATACAACTAACAAATTACTTGACTTTTTTTGTCGTAGTGATGAAACTGTTGTCTTCCAACAAAAGACTGGGGACTCCTCCAGTCCTTACACCTGTTTGTGCAGAGACGAGGATTTAACTGACTGACGTTAGGGATGATATCCAGGAAAACCTGCTGTCTATAGGACTTGATCCTTTTAGCTTTTTTTAGTAATACGTTTAGCACTTTGTTATTGTTGTGCTATATTTAGCTTTTAGTTACATTTAGCTTCTTTTAGTTTTCATAAGAAACACTTTTCTGTAAACTGACAGCTAAAACTATTTCTTCTTGTTGTTTCCAGCTGTTCAGTGACATCACCTCGCTGTACTCGAATCATGCAGATCCCAAACAGCCAGCGACCGTCATTACTGAGACAAACCAGGGAGCGAACCTTTCACAAGCCCCTCACGCCCACTTTGATCAATGTGAACTCCTCGACTCTTTGCATTCACAGATGTTTAGCAGCGAACACACCAGCTTCCTTCATGAAGCCGTGAGAGCCCAGGGTCCCTTCAGTGAATCGGACCCCAACTCCTCAGACTTTAGACTTGACCTGAATCGCTCCTTTGGCAACCCAAACGTTGACGTTCACAGAAATGATCTGTTGAAAGAGGAGGAAGAGCTTCCTGTGTGGTGTCACAGAGCTGCAGGGAGAACTGTTGGAAGAGTGACCGATGACCGGACTCCACGGGCCTCCCCAAACGAACACACCCCATATCTGTGCACAGACAGTCCTCTCAAACTGAACTCTACGTTCAGCTGCAGCCCCGTTCTGCAGAATTCAGCCAACGGTCCAATGTCCCCCCACCCTGTAGTCCACAGTGATCTCGATGGCATCGTCTTCAGTCGGAGTCCACCTTCAGATGTTCCGTGGGGTCAGAGTGGTAACGAGTGTCTCTCCAGCAGCAGAGGGGTGGCAGCAGGTCCAGCCTCGTACGGCTTCAGATGCTGGAAAGGTTTGGAGAGGAAGAGGAGCTCCGAGGGCGCCGGACTCTTTCAGTCGAGTCAACGTTAGCAGCTTTGTGTGCATTGCTGAAACGAGCAAAACATAAATACTTTTATTTGTTTTAAGCCTTTTCTATAATAATTTTAATCAGCTCTTCTTGGCTTGTGTTTGTTTTAGTGCTGGAGCCACCGAAGAGGGGGAGGCTGAGCTACGAAAGGGTCCCCGGCAGGAGAGACGGACAGACGAGGCTTAAATTATTTTAACGTTTATTGAAAAATCTGATAAACAGTTTGTGTTTAAGAAATAAATATTTTATTCATTTCTAAACTGTTTTGTATTTAAAAGTTTTACCTGTTACAATTTGTTTAAAATGAAACATTAAATTTATTGGATGTAAAGTTCAAAATACAATTATTAATAAAATAATAAATGACTTAATGGCTTTGCGTTCAGCAGTAAAATGTGAATTTATAACATGATCACTTTTGCACACGAGCTGCTTTTTTGACAGTATAAAATTTAATTTTATATATTTTTCTACGTGAAGGTTTCTGTCCTCACTGAGCATGCTCAGTAGGGAAAACAAGACTTGATTTATGTGAGTGGAATTGAGGGTCTTTCCTATCTACGCTGATAAAGTCTCATTTTTGCAGCTCCTTTGGTGGGGCTTCTTTTTTATATATATAATTTTGTGAAGCAATCCCCTTATCGTGGTCTCTCAGCGTGTGAAGAGAGTGCTTATCTTCACGAGCCAGCAGAGTGAAGCCAGTTCCCCCAGGGATGATCCCCAGACAAAGACGACCCCGGGGACATGGACTCCACACCTCCCCGCCTCTGGCCGGCCGTATCCAGCACCGACTTGCCACCATCAATAACCTGACAGCCTTTTTTATTTATTTTTATGTCTCAGTCTTTCTTGGACCTGCCTTCTAAGAGTCGGTGGACAAAGAGAGAGAAATGGTTTGTTTTTTTACTGCCACGGGAACAAAAGCTGGTCAGCGGCGTCCCTACAAGAGGCCGAGGGAAACGGCAACCTAATGGGGCAGTAATGGTTCCTGACTACACTCGAGCTCTGAACTGAATGGAGCAGGAGCAATAATGTGGGAATTAACAGGCTGTTTAAACCAAAGCATCTTTGAGACTGGATCCTACTCGGGCTTCAGCTGGAAAGGTCACACCGTTATCGCCCATCACAGACCGCAATTAACTCTCACCTGTGGGCTTCCATCTTCAGCAAAAAGGCCCTAAATCCAGATTTTAGATGACAAGAATCGCAGATTGATTTATTTTGCTACAAAAGCTGCGTTTAAATCACATGAAATGCTGAAAACAACTCAAACACTTGATTTTATGAAGAAGAAAAAAATGTCCACATGAAGATGGCTCAATTATTTAAGTCTTTCTGCAGAGACATGCTTTTTCACATTGAAAGATACAATGTGGCAATTAATTTCCAATAAATTGTGTTTAAAATTAGGTTAGAAGAGGCTCTCAATTAAATTAATCAGTTTCCATAGGCCATGTTCTCATATTTATTTTTGTTCTAAATTTCTGTTTTAAGTGTGCTATATAAACAAATCTGACTTGACTAAATCTTAAGTAAAGCTGAACTTGATGAAAACATCACATTTTCAGCAACATGCCAGTTATTAAAGGTTACATCTAATAAATGTCAAAGCTGATCATTTTTGTTGAGGGAATTTTAAGGCAACATTAAACATGATAGACGCTTAAACCACAGATGAGTTGCTTCAGAAAAGCTATGAAATATATCCTGTAAATGTCTAGAAAATGCAGCAATCATTCATGGAAATATTTTCACTGCATTCATTAAACGACTCACCTGAACTAACCATACAGGCTGGGGACAACAAAGGTTTTAGGCTTATACTTGCGAAAACGTTCAAAAGTTTCCAAAGGTTTTGGATTCTGAAGGTGGAGCAACCATTAAATCTGAGCTTCTCCCGACAAAAACAACAGAAGTCCTGATTGGGCCACTACCTCAAGTTGCAAAGTAGAACAGAAACAACTTATTTATTTGGATTTAGTTTGTGGTCTTTGGGTCAAGAAGTTGCAACTGAGCAATTAATTGCATGGTGTTCATTTTTAGATAAATCAGTTTGAGTTGCATTTGTGGCTTTCCTTTCAAAGGTTTCACTCAGGTAAAGTGGTCACCTGGTCCTGCGGGTGTGAAGAACAGCATAAAACCATCTGAACCACCCAACACAGAGCGTCTGCAGACCTGGAGCGCAGGCTGATGGAGGCAGAGAGCGGCGGCGCCTGGCCTGCAGGTGCAGCCTCTTGGACATGCAGCAGCACCCATGAATGGCCGATTCAGAAAACGGCCCCCATCGGGCTTGTTCTCCAGGCCCAGGGCTAATCCCAACCCCTAATCGGATTATGTAAATTCCTACTCTACACACAGAGTTTTATGGAAGACTGCATCTTTGAAACAACACTTGAAGGGTGTAAAAAGAATGGTAACAATTGGTTCAACTAGACTTGTTATTTTATCTGAACATAGGTTTGAAAGTGGGAGGCGGGGGGGGGGGGGGTGGGGGGTGGGGGGGTGTAGGAGTGAGGTGTGGCTGAGGAGAAGTGAGTCAGACTCTGTGCCCTCCATGTTTCCTCTAATTTATGTGTGGCCCCTTGGAATCGCTCAACAAGATTACCGTAGTCATAACAAAACCCATATTGTTCGACTGTCAATCTGGATGTGGTATTTTTACCTTTTGTGGCCCAATCAGACCAAATTCAAAAGCAGAGCAGCAGCGATATCAAGGTCTTTCCCTTGGTCGAGGGGACGGTGGGTTGTCCATGCCTAATGTCAGAGGAACAGAAAGGAATAAGTGTCCACAGCAGTGAGGGACGGATCAGAGAGAGCAACGTCTCAGTTTCACTTCAATAGGAATTCATCACCTTCAGTGGAAACCGTCGAGGATTAAATGAGCAACGAATCATAAAAGCAGCACAAATGGTCACTTAAAAGGCTGTTGGGTCCTGAAAGCTGCAGAAAGCACCTTCGGGTCATACAAATGTTGGACCTGCAGGAAAACATTTCAATCGTATCAAGCGATGACCTTTAAGAAGCATCATCAGTTATTCACAGCCTTTTGTTTAAAATTATAGAAAGGAGGGGCAAGGGGAGGTGGGTGGGTGGGGGACAGTCACACAATAACACAACCTTTACGACAACGCACGTCACACAATGGGGCTCACTCTGCTATAAAATGTGGGATGGAAGCATGCAGCATTCTCACCCCTGCTCTCTCTCTCTGCTCCCCATCTCTCCCCCCTCCGTCGCTCGCTTGGATCCCAGAGAGGATGAGAAGACGCAGCTGAGCGGACACAGACGCGGGAGACACCGTTGACCTGTGGACAACAGCTCTGCCTCTGAGACATCTGCATTTCTACACAAACAGGTGAGACGTTTACTTTACGCTCAGGATAACCAGTGAGGTCAATAAATTATTGATCAAGTCGTGCATGGGAACCATGTCTGTGCTTGCAGCTGTCATTGGGAAAAACTCAATGGGTGTCGATGACCAAATTATTAGTTTAAAATAATTATTAGTGTTTTTCAACTGGAAACATTTTTATTTAACATTATCTGACAAATGCTTTAAGAGTATTCAAAGGCAACAGTAAAGTTTAGGATGTCAAATAAATATTTACAACTATTTTAAACTGTGCAAACCTTATTAATTGATTTTAAGTATTCAGGATAGTAAAAAAAAAAAAAGGGTTGCTACCTCAATATAAAAACAATATGAAGGTTTTTGTATCTGCAAAACAAACAATATATGACTAAATCAATTTAAAATATGTCAACAAATGAAACAAGCAGCGTTTAGAATCTGAAAAATAAATCCGTCCTCATAATGATTAATCTTCCATCGCTGTGCTCAGCATCATGACCAGGAAGGTGTTCACCAACACCAGGGAGCGATGGCGCCAACACAACGTCAACACCGCCTTCGCAGAACTCCGCAAGCTCATACCGACCCATCCTCCGGAGAAGAAGCTGAGCAAGAACGAGATCCTGCGTCTGGCCATGCGCTACATCAACTTCCTGGTGCAGCTGCTGGAGAGCCAGAGCGGCCAGCCGGCCAGCCACTCCTCCACCGCTCTGCTCACCTTCCTGAGAGGAAACATGGAGCAGCTGCACTCGCCCCCCCACCCCTGGACCACGACGAGTGACACTGATGCTCCGTCACCTGGATCCAGCTGTGGCAGCTCCGAGGCCTGGTAAAACTAGTCCTGAGTTTAAAAGAAGACACTGGTGAGACTTTTGGAGTCAAACAGCAGATTGGTGCATCGTGACTCATGTTTCGGAGCAGATGGACGTGTGTGATGCCACCAACAGATTATTTATGTTCTGCACGGGGGTGCAAATCCTGGACACTTCAAGTTTTCATGTTAATGTTCCTTACTGCTGGTCTGCCCGAAACTCTGTTTACAACAGAGGAAAAGTTTGTCATTGAGGAAAAAAACACAGGATTGTTAAATTTCTCATTTGAGGTCGAAAATTAAGCAAATCTGAAGATTAAAGAGTCTCCAAACTGTAATTGTCTCTAAACAGTCGAGGGGACTCTTTATTTCTATCTTTTTTTATTTTTTCATTAAGTCAACGTGCTGTTTTCTCCCATTAAAATCTATCTGGTCTTTCTTATTATCAACATCATCTGTTTCCAGAATCAATTAAGTAAAATAACATTTTTCTGCTTCTCCTTGGGTATAAACAAAATCATACCCGTCATCTGATTCCTGATCTTAAAATTAGAGTTTTGTCAAAACATAATTCTCTGAATAATTTCACACAAACATCTTCTTTCAGAGGTTTCCATTTGATTTATTTGTAATATATCTGCATGTCACAGCCAAAGATCATGAACTGATTGTCAGTCGTAACGAGTGTTGTTCTGAGTCATATACCTCTTCTCTAATTTATTCTTGTTTACCTGTAAAAACATATTGTGCTATTTATTTTTATTATTTATTATTTATTTGGAGAAATAAATTGTTAATTATGTACTTTTCTGGATTTTTGTCAAACATGTTCACACCACACTTAACTGAGAAACACTGCAAGAGAAAAGGAGCAACTTCTGAACCAAATATCGCTCAAACCTGAAACTAACAGAGCCTGTAATCTTTCACTTATAACTTCGGATCTGATTTAATCCAGCGTTTTCTCTTTGTACAGAATAATTTGTGGAAACACATCTGTCAGAATGTACAACTGCACAAAAGATACAGTACAATTACAGCTAGTGTGATACTACATTTGTTCATATTGGAGGGAAAATCTCCAGACAAAAACACAAACAAACAAATACCCACGTATACTCAAAGAATAGGAAAACAGGAAATTTCATATCAATTTAAAATGAATAAATAAAAAATACTTGCAGTTTCACATCAGGCAACAACTGAGAGCTGAGGTAAAACAGCAGAATTGACACGTCTTTGTGCCTAAAAAGCTCGGGGATGTTTGTTCTCTGTGCTCCTCTGATGACCATGTGGACACAAAGCCGACCTCTGACCAGAGGCCGGAGAGACGAGCGCTCAAAGCTTAACTTGCAACCCTTGAGGTCAGAGGTCGTCCTGGGGTCAAACACCGTCCAGTTGACCACTGTGCAAACAGAGGTCTTTAATGGGAGGAAAAGGGTCACTTTGTTGCTGAACGCAGCATTTTGTGCAGCTCAAGTTAAAATCACATAAAGTAAAAACAGGAGTTGAGACACGAAGATAACCGACCAGTGAAGATTGGATCAACCAGGATGTTCAACTTTAAAAACAAATGGAATCTGATGGATCACCGTAAAATAAAACAAAGTGTAATTATAAAACCATAATCTTAATTTTAATGAAAAAAATAAACAACTGAAGAGCAAACCCCTGTTCTAACGTCGATGCCTTTTGTTTGTTTTTGTAAAATTTATATAACGGCCTCCTGCGAGGAACTGAAGGCAGCAGGTTTCGTTTGCATGCCATTTAAATTGAGGTCAGGTATTTTAACGCTTGGAAGATTTTTGTGGCTGTAGAAAACATGTTCCCCCGTTTTCAGGCTGCATCGAACTGAGCCGAAGAGTAAACATCGTATTTGTTCTGAACGCCTTAACAGAGGCTGTTAAACTCCGACTAACGGTGTGCAAACGAAGCAGAGGGCAGCTGGACACAAAGACGGTGGGAAGTGACAGGTGACTCTTTGTAATCCTCCTGAAATACCAAATAAAAGCATGTTTTACAGGAGAATTATTACTACAGTGCAGCAGCAGTCTGACGCTCCAACAGCATCAACATAGGGGCATTTACTTCATAATTTTGAAGTAAAATGAGTAATTTCATAGTAACCTGAAAAGTACATTAGGCTAAAAATAACACGAGGCAAATCATTTTTTTGTAATGTAAAAATATTTAACGGAAACAGGACAGCTCCTGTGTATTTTGCTGTTAGTTTATCTCCTGCTTTATTTACTGACACCACCCAATCATGTATGAGCATTACTTTAACTTGTGTTTCCTGCTGAATTGGGGGGGGGGGGGATGCATTAAAAAACAAATCTGTATGCCTCTCGCTCCCTCTGCAGTGTGTTTTCCTGATTGAGTATTCTGTTCCAAGCATGCGGGTAATCGTCTATTGAGAGCACATTTCCTTATCAGCGTCTAGCACACTGTCTGAATCCGTTATCACAATGGGCCAGATCAGTGCAGGCAGCCCCTCGCTCTCCGGGCTGAGGCGCCCGTAAAAAAGAATTTCTGGAGTTGGGTGCCAGCCGATAGGCCCTGAGCTCTTTATCCCCTCAAAGCCAATTCGTCCTCTGCATGTTTAAATATCTCAGCTCAACCCCCTGCCCTCCCACTCCCATCACAGCACTCCTCCTCCTCCTCCTCGCTGCAGAGGTCCAAGCCTAAACTCGCGCAGTAACCGACCTGCGACGTGGGAGTATAGGATGCAGGTGCAGGGCTGGTTGGATGGTGACAGAGGGGAGTCCTCCATTGTTGGGCTGGACAGCACCCTCTCTCCTCTGGAGCACCCTCTGATGGGGGAGCACACAGACAATCACACATCCTAATCTGATTATGCAAATGTCTACTTCAAAAAGCAATACGCTGTAACCCCTCACCAAGTGGTGGGAGACACTGAAGGAAGAGGAGAAAGCAGCAGGAATGTAGGAAGTAAGTGGTCAATCTCGGATTAAATTAAATAATAAGGGGGAAAAAAAACATAAATGTTCAAAGATTTTACCGTACAAATCAAAGTTGTTGCCATTTTTATCTTCTAACTCACATCCTCTGCATCACCAGGGGACGTCTAAGAATGAACACATCTACACTCTGGCTCCCTCAACGAGGACAAGACGTGCGTTTGGTCAATCATCTCTTCATTGTAACGATGCTTTTTGGAAATAAATCAGTTTGTTTCCACCAAATGATGCCACATTTAGTGAAAAAGTATTTGTGTTTTGAGCAGAGGAGTGGTCTGTGAGTTGTGCTCATGAAAACCTTTCAAAACTAATAACACTTTATTCCGCTAAAGACTGTTCGGTGTCTTCATTGGATTGGATAATTAAAGTCTGAGTAAACTAAATATTATTTGTATGCAGTCAAAATCCTCGTTCATTAAATTCACATTTATAACTCTAAACAAACGCTCGTGTTCAGTTGCCTGTGCTCTTCAATCAAAGTTTATTTAAACAAAAGTGTGCCAATCAAGGATACCACATCATGATAGTGTCACCACCATGCTTCATGGTGGCAAAGCAGCTGAAGGGAGAATGGGGTCATGTGAAACGTGACATTCTTCATTTTTAGCTTTAAAAAAACTTGACAAAGCAAATGGGGTGTGTTTTACGTTTTCCAACAATTAGCAGATTTCCACAATAAAAATGTTACTGCTTTTGCAATTTGCTTTACAAGAGATATTTTTATTAAACCTTTATTTTACCAGGAAGAAATCCATTGAGATTATTTATTTATTTTACAAGGATGTCCTGGGTAATGTGTTTTTACTTCCCACATTCAACAGCTGGTGAAGAAACTAAGATTAAAATTGGGATTTTATTTCAGGATCATCGATCTTTTGAGGCTAGAAAGCGACTGGTTGATGCTACTTTTATGTTTGTACTGGACTATGGTGATATTTTATACATGCGTGCTCCTCTTAAATGTCTTTATTCGCTGGATACTGTTTATCATGAAGTTTTAAGATTTATAACAGGTTTAAAAGGTTTTTACACATCATTGCAATTTATACAACCGGATTGGATGGACGTCCTTGACCACTCGTAGACTCTGCCATTGGCATATTTTTATGTATAAGACCATACTAGTATCCTTTGTATTTGTTGGCCTTTATAAAGAGAAAGATCACGGGAGGATAATCTTTTCGTTGTGAGAACTTATTTTTACTTTCAGTGCCTAAAGTCCGGTCTGAACTAAAGAAATCTTTTCAGTTTTCTGCTCCGTCTTCTTGGAACCAGTTGCAGAAATACATGAACCTAAAGGAGCTGCTGCCACTAAATGTTTTTAAGGCTGTTCTTACTGATTTGGAGAAGGCATCATCTGTCTGTAAATGTTTTAACTGAGGAATCTTTTAATTAATTTGTTTATGACGAAGTTAACTTTTTCTGTTTTTGTTGTGAATGTTCTGTAACCTCTGTGTGCTGCTGCCAGTCTTGGCCAGGATTCTCTTGCAAAAGAAATTTTTAAGCTCAATGGGATTTTTCTGTTGAAATGAAGGTTAAATAAAAATAAAATAATATTTCGTTCTACCAGAGGTAGAACAAAAGTCATTAGAGTAAAACAGAACTGAGTTGCATTTACTGAAAAGCAAATAAATAAATAGAAATGTTTATGTTTGCTCTTGTTTTAATCGTCTGCTTCATCCTGCTGGTCTTCAGTTTAAATGCAGGAACTGAAAGACAACAGTACTAATGGATCATATCATGCTCTTTTTTTAATAATAACATTTAGAAAATAATTCATAATATCTAATGTTTTCATGTAAATGAAGGGATGCAAACAAATAATGTGGCGTAAAAAAGAAACAAAAGCATCTAAAAATTAGAGTTTAAGAAATAATAGTGCTGTTTTACTCTTTTATCTCCTCTCGTCTTATGCTCCACCAGGGGAGGTCTGACAAAAACAGTATTCATTGTACGCTCTGAAAGGCCACTGACTCCATCAACGCGGATTAAACCCAATATTCAAATGATTTTTGTTTTTCCGGACACCCCTGAATCCAGCATTAAAGGTAATCTACAATGTTAATGAAGGAGATAAAGTGTCCAGAGTTAAGGCGTAGACACTTAAACAATCACAAGTGACGTTTCAAAAGAAAGCACTGATTCCTGAAGGCTTGGTCCACAACCCCCACCACCTGAAACTTCACAAAGCATAGACCCCCCCGACCCCAAGACCTGAGCTAATTTCTGAAATCTGTTCCCTATTCTGGACCTGCAGTTGTAGCAACTGTAAAAATGTAGATCGGTAACAAATCTGTTATTGTTTTAATGATTTGTTTTTGATGTTTTATTTATTTATTTGGTTGTTGCACATCTCATTTCACATCATTCTTTATTATTAAGAATTTTTTTTATTGTTTCATGAATAACGGCCGAGGCAGGAGAACTGTCAGTTGTGCAGACACGTGGTTAGAAACCGAAATGTGATGTTTACTATGGGATCATGAAAAGTATTACAACTACGAGCAAAGATAATAACTGTGCACTAACGCAGCAAGTCTAAATACAGTGATGTCTCCAACCAAAGTGTGGTAAATTGAAAGTGCAAAATAAAGTCATAAGCAAACAATATGGATAAAACAAATATCTACAACTAAATAACAGACAAATGTTGAACTATATGTTCATGTTATCAGAAACAACTGAGATTTAAACAGTGTGATTTAAGGGGAAGAAAAACAAAACTAATTTGGGAACGATGTTTCCCCTAATAGTCGCAAAAGATGCAAAATATATCGCAATGGAAAGTATAATGTACTCTGACAAATATTCATCATAAATTAATGTATTTTTTCAAACAAATAGCAATGGTGAAGTCTAAATTATTTTTCAGTGGAAAAAAGCCTCTACATTTTCAGATTGCACAATTTTTCCCAAGAAAAGACGAATACTCAATAATCCACTATTTCTTTCAATCGTTCTTTTTATTTTTGCATTTATTGATTGATTGTTTCAGTCGGTTAGAGATTTACATATTGAAATACTGCCATTGCCTTTTACCTCTCCATCAGCTCTCCTGTTATCTTGTGTCAATCAATAGAAAGATAACCAAATCAGAGTTCATTTAGTCAATAAGTAACTTGAAGGCACCTATTTAAAAGGCTGGAGCAAATATTCTGCAGACCAGCAGCCACCATGGAGCTGCGTGTCTCCATTCTGCTGGTACTTTGTGTAACAGGGACTGTAAATGGAGGAAGGATCAACATAGTGTGATACACTGAGGCCAGCCACTGGATTAACATGAAGCTGGTGCTGGTGGACAGAGGACACCAAGTGACAGTCCTGGTCCCGAGCTCATCAATGTTCATGAACAGCAGTGAACCCTCTCAGTTTCAGTATGAGAATTTCAACGTCTCAAATTATAGAAAAGTTTGTTGAAGAGTATGTTGCCATTTTCATGTATGAGATAGATCACTTGAACAACGTTCAAGTTTATGTCAGGTTCATAGAAATGAGAAAAAAACATAATTCGATTTACTCTTAAACTTTTGGATGGTGTTATGGCCTGAGGTCATAATGTTTGAGTGATAATATAGTAGCAGGTTGATTTGGTGGCCCAGCTGTGCTGTGGCCCATCTGGAATTGACTGGCCTCCCGATGGACATCTATCTGCATCCCGGTTGGCTTCTTCACCTCCTGCTCTTCAAAGCACAGAAGAGGCCTGCCTATTTAAGCCCAGCTCTCCTGCTATTCAGGGCGGCTGTTATTTAGACAGCAGCTCGTCATTTTGTACGGGTGTATTTGTTCAGGAAATATTTGGCTTTGGCTAAAAGTTAATTCCTGCAGTTGGAGTTGTTTGTTATTGTTGGTGTAAGCTTCTGAAGGCAGTCAGAAGTCACATTATTTCACTAAAGGCAGAATTTGTTTATCAAGGAAGAAGTAATCAATTTGGGAGTACGTCTTATAAACGGGGGGAAAAATGAGTATGAGCTTGAAGTAGGATTACAGAAGTGCCACACATCAGCCACAACATAAGATTTAAGGAACAAATTGATTGATTGAGTGGATTTAGTCAGGGCAGTTTTCTCCATCGAACTACAGTCAAGAGATGAAACCACACATTCAACAAACAATGATGAGTCCAGCTACAGGCAAGAGGTGGAACACCTGGAGAGCTGGTGCAAAGAGAATAACCTTCACATCAATGTGAAGAAGACAAAGGAGATG